ACAAAAGCATGTGTGAGTGATCTAAGGGTTTCATGTTGTGCATTTCTAATCACTCCTATCTAACTTTTTGTGATCCATTTCTTCACCACTTTGCCTAAATCCATTAGAATTTGGAGGCCCCTCACGCAAACATACCCTTGATGAATCTAATGCCCCATTTGTTTGCTAGGAAAATGTGCTGAAGACAGACAGAAACTTTCAAAGCTTTCATCACTCGGGAACTGAAATTGCAACACTACCCACTCAAGTATTTCACTCAGAAAGGGAACATCTATCACTTTCGCCCAATTTCTTATCAAACAAAGGGAAAATTGTAAAAAACCAATAGAATGCTTATGATGCTTACCGCAGTTTCTCCTTCTGACTCCATTGCCACCTTCTCCTTTGCTCAGATGTGAACAATGGCTCAAAATTCTTGTTCAAGCTCAACAAGATCTATGCATGTCTAAGATCGCAGTAACTTTTTTCCACTCCAAAATCCCAAGATCTGGATTATGCACCTGGAAAAGGGAAGGTAAAGAAAAATCAGATTTTACCACCTTTCAGCAAGCATTTTCTACACCATAGATCACTGAATATATTATTCAACTGTGGCAAATTAAAATACGATTATTTTCCCCGGTTTTCTCGGTAACCAAACAGATTGAAATAAGCTGATATCCAGTGGAGAACAGCACAGTCAACATTTCCAAATCTAATCTTTTAATGTAAGAAACATAAGCCGAATAATAATGTAAAACAAAAAAGGACCAAAACTTAAATCCAACCAGAAACCATACCTTAAGATCAAAAGAATCGATCTTTATCGCCAATTCTTCAAATCCAGGACACCCAATTGAAAATAAACCAAAATCGATCCACTTCTCCAGCAGATCTCAGAAATTAGACAAACTGGAAAAAACCCAGATGAAAAGTTCACTGCTTGGATCCCAAAAATCAAAAGAGAGAGTGATCAATTAATAAACTGAAGCAGACAAAACCACAATTCCAATCACAGCTCTCTCTTTCTCTCTCTCTCTCTCTCTCTCTAAAAGGTGTCTCAGTCTGTGTATAACTGTAAATATTTATATAATGTGTGGGAGAGGAGAAAATGGCTTAAGACTTGAGAGGGGCGAAAGGGACAGAGGAACAACTCGAAGCCCTTTAGACTCTCTCACTCCCACCGACGCTGTTAGAGACAGAGGTGCATTAGTTGTAGAAGAAGACACATCAACTACCTCAATAATTTTATTTTATAAAATTACGTCAAAAAATTATGTGTTATAAAATTGTTTTAATAAGAAAAGTTGCAAAACATAATATAGAAAATGTAATTATGAAAGGTGAAAGCAAAACTTTACTGTTTGGCGTATTTGATGATTTGGTCTAAAAATTGTCATTTACATTGTGTTTGGATAAAGAAAATAAACTTGGAATTTAGATTAAACTCGGAATTTCTAAATTAATATTGATCAATTCTCTTGTTTAGATTCATAAACATGGAAATTTAGAATTTCTATATGTAAAAAAATTTGAAATTTAGGACCTCCAATTATTTAAATTTCATGTAAATATGTGTCATTTCCTAATTTATATGATTAAGAGTTTAAAAATAACATATTCCCTATTCAATTCTATTGTTTTTTTTAAGTTAACCAAACAATAAAATTTGCAAATACTAGGAAATAAAATCTCGTCATTCTAATTTCATCATTTTAAAATTTCTTAATAATCTTAAAATTTTTTAATCCAAACATAATGTTAAGTTAACCAAACAATAAAAATTCACAAATACTAAGAAATAAAATCCAGTCATTTTAAAATTCTTTAAGAATCTTAAATTTCTTCATCCAAATATAATGAACGTATGTTATGAAATTGATTTTATCTCATTTTGCCAATTAATTTCTCAAAATCTAACAATTTCATCTTTTATGTTTATGTTTATGTTTCAAATGGGTTTTAAATTAAATGTCAGCTAATGCTTTAAAATAATGGGGGAAAACAAATACGTCTTTGTGCCTTAACGTGGATTCGGTCTCACAGACTCCTCTCTCTTTCATGCAACTAATGGGGGGGGTCTAAGCCATTAACGATACTAAAAAAAGTATGAACATTTCATTTTTTATACAACTCTTTATCACCAACTTTGCTGCTAAAACAATCTCAATTACATTTGTTATGACTCTAATGCAAATCCAAGGATTTTTCTCCATAATTACCTCCCCCAATAGTTTACCATCCTCTCATTTGTCGGGAGGTAACTAAGTGGAAGGGTCCTGCGTTTGAACTAAAGTTGTTAAAGATGAAATTGAGATTGTTTTAAACAGGCAAGTTGGAGGTCAAGAGTTGTCGTAAAAAGTAAAATGTCCTTAGTGCCTTTTAATTTAGGGAATTTTAACAAAAAGCTCTATATACTGTTCATTTTAACGAACAACCACTTTTTTATATTAAAAAATCAATCATGGTACTATTCACTTTACCCTTTATTTTGTCATTGTCGTTAAAACTCAAAGTTTTCAAGCTTTTTTTATTAGATTTCCTTTTAATTTAACGTCCATTTGACAAAATGCGGAGAAAATGCCTTGATTTTGAAAAACAAAATGATTTGAGAGGATATAATGAGACTAAATGCAGTTTTAAGCTAGGAAATCAATATGATCCCCAACCGAACATGCTTCCACGTCTTGCGGAGCAAGAAATGGTTGAGCTCAGCAAGGTATGCATGTCTTACCTACTATTTTAGAGGGTGTGGTGGCACCATTGATCCATTTAGACAGCTTAGTCCGATTCGAAGATGTTGAGTTCATGAGTGAACTTCCAATAAGGTGCTTGTATTATGATCGTCTTACTTCAACTTAGAAAAAACTCATAATCCAACAAATGTCTCTAACTATGATTTGAAGTGGAATTCCCTTTAAGGATGAATAGTTACCAAAAGACTATGCATTTCGAAGTAGATCAGAATAGTGTGTTCTCCCAAATTCTTTATGGAGTGAGGTAAGAGAGGGACGAATAGAGCAAATGAGCTTAGCTTTATGAATTGATCGCAAAAACTACTTTTAATTTAGGGAAAACTTGATATAAGTCCAATATTTTTAGCCAATAGTAGGAATAGTCCAATTTATTAAAATAAGTTCAATTCCTTAAATTTAATTATTTTATAATCAATAATTATCTACTCAATGATAAGATTTATTATAAAAATCAAATTTCTTCCTAATTATCTCTTTGATTATTTCTTTTTATTTTTTGTTATTTTTTGTTCTTCCTCCTGCTTTAAACCCTATTTATAGATTTTATTTTTAATTTTTATAATCAACCTATATCAGGTTAATTTATTTTTATATATCTATATGACATATTCTTTTTTATAATCAACGTATCACAAATTCATGTGTCTTGCTTATAAGTATATTATGTTTTTTCCTACCCTTTAGTTAGGTTTCATATCTTGCTTACATGTATAATATATACTCATATATTTGTTACTTGAGTTAAGGTACAATGTTTTATAGATAATTTATGTTAGTATATTAGTTTTTTTTTTTTTTTTTTGGTAAGATTGTTGACCCTAAAAATTACAAAGCCTACGCGATGCGCAGACCGAATAATTAATAAGCTAACTAAGTCCTTTGGTTGAATGCGGGGCGTGCCAACTCGTCGGCCGAGCTCGACCGATGAGTAAAATTCGTTGTTATCACGTTGAGTGCGTTGTTGACTTCTTAATCTTGTGACTGCGACCGAGGAAGGAACACTCTCGGTCTTTGGGTTCTAGAGCCTAAAGACGAGGCTGCTAGTTTTGTGAAGTTCACAAATTGTTGGTGCCCAATTCGGTCACCGTGATTATATTCGTAAGAGTATAAGCACATTGAATCAACACCAGGTTATACGGACACAAATATTCAAAGGTGATGTAGGTCTTGATGGTGAATGTGATTTGGCCGTCAGAATGCCGAACTCTAAAACTCACTTGTGAATATCTAATCATAAAATCACTCAGCGTCCAATACGACGAATGTCGTAACTTGTAACACCTTATTTCGCCGAGAAGGCTGATAAGATGACCCCTACCACCAAGGATTCGAAAACCCTCCTCGGCCGAGACTTGGATAGATAACTAGTCGACCTCGACACAGTGCTGTTTATCCAAACTGAAGATGCTCCTCGGTCGGCTGATTCTACTGCAACAGTGCTGTTTATCCAAACTGAAGATTTTAGCTGGTTGCCTCCACAGTGCTGTTTATCCAAACTGAAGGTGTGTTGGCGGAAAAAGAAAAGGAAAAATCTCAAGGCGTTTGAGAGGTTTTGCGCATGGCAATTGTATGTTGAATTGAAGGTCCTTTCTTTGTTGCATGACTTCTTGTATTTATAGTACCAACTCCTTGAGACCGAATTAAACCCCTATCTGGATTGGGAGTCCTTGCCATGTTCCAACTTTGCTTCGAACAACCCTACTCCCATTAGGACTTTGAACTCACCCCCCTTCGGGGCTTTATTCATTGCTGGTCGAGATTCCTAGTTGCACCAGGACTTCCCCGACCCTCTTTGTTTAACTGGAACTACTCCTTGCGATAGGACTTGACCATCCCTGCTAAACGGCCCGGGATCATGAGGCGGCCCATAGTATTTTGACCCAGCTTTGGACCAAGCACAAACCTACACTCGCCCCAATAATATTATTTTGGGCCCAAACAAAGATATTAATTAGATTTTTTGGAGTTGAAAAATGCATAATATTAGAATATTTTAATTGATTTTTAATATTTAAAAAAAATATAAAATGAGTATAAAAAAATAAAAACATGTAATTAGATAATTAGACTCACTCCTAAAAACCATCTATGTTCTTAGATCTAGATCTAAAAGCCCCTTTAATTTATGCAATCACATTCCTAAATAATAATTTTTTTTTTCAATATTTTTAAATAATATTAACTACAACAAAATTGAATGACGAAATTCAAGAATTTAAAGAAAAAAAAGAAAAAACCCTGAAAATATTGTTAATTGTCACGAAATATGTAATGAGGCGAAAGGTATTTTCCAAAGAGAAAAAAGGAGAAGCATTCAACGCTGGTAGGAGTGCAAAAGGACAGGCTTCGTAGAGTGTCCCTCCTGCATAAGCGCCTCGGCGATCCAAACGCCGTAAATCTTCTTCCGCCGCCTCAGCTCGGTTTGGGATCCATTCAGTCAGGGTTCCACTGCAGCAAAAGAAAGAAACTTTGAAGCGGAAAATTGAAATCGATGGCGTCGTTTGGGTCTTTAAAATCTGCAATCTTCGACAGAGAAGAGAGAAAACAGTACTTTTCTCCCCTCTTTTGTGACTTTCTCTCTGTCCAATTGTCCTTTAAATTTTCAATTTAATCTCTTGTTTTTTTGGGAGGATTTCAGGCAGTACCAGGCTCACATTCTCGGCCTCAACGCTTACGACCGCCACAAAAAGTTCGTCCAAGATTACGGTGCGATTATGCAATTCACACACACATATATATGGGGTCAAATATAGAATTTGGGTTTCTACTCTGAAGAAATGGCAAAGTTTGGAACTAATTGGAGCTAATTAGTGTTAAGAAAGGACCAAAAGGAAGCATTCACAAATAGTGAGCTCTTTATTTGTTGAATCCTAACGTCCTAGAGCGAATGGATGATGAACAGTCTCCTCCAATTAGAAGGAAGGGAGGCTACAGTTGTCCATACAAATATGCACAAATAATAAATTCCTTTTTTCGGTTTTTTTTTATTTTTTATTTTTTATTTTTTATTTTTTTTTTTTTATTTTTTATGCGGGGGTGTGGGGTGGTTAATTTTGTTTTAATATAACCGTGAAACATATTAATATCTGTTACCGTTGATGGGGGAGCTCCTCCGTTGATGGTTGGTGCCATATCCTATCAACTTGTGGATTAGTGTCACTGCTTTTTACCATTTGGGATTGTTCATGACACTGCATTTCTCCGTTTGTTATAAAACTGAGCTATGTAAGCTACTAGATCTATGGGAAGGTAGCTATAATACTAGTCATATGCTTAGTGGTACACTTTGGCGTTATTAGACGCGTTGTAGCCATGTTGGATGCTTCATTATGATTGCCATCTGAGTGTTAAGGTTTTGTTGTGTGAGCTTTTTTGTCCATGTGCACGTATAAGTTTTTACCTTTTAAGCTTTCCAATTCATCAATGTGAACATTTTTCTCTCTAAATCCTAATTCCATGGTGTTGTTTCATTAATAGGATTTTGTTGTCAGCTGTTTCTTGTATTTTGGTACTTTGGTATATGTACAACTTTGTTTCTTGTTCAATATTTTGTACCCCTTTTGCTTTTGTCATTAATCTTGGTGGTTTTTTTCTTTATAATTCAGCTTTGGCAACTCTTGATGAATGCCTTGTGTTGCAGTTAACTTTTATGGTAGACAAGAATCTTCACATGTCAAGCTCCCGGTTAAAACAGATCAAGACACCCTAAGGGAAGGGTATCGGTACGGAAGCTGTAGTCCTTGTTCTCTAATGTGGTAGATTGCACCCGCATTTCTGACGTAAATATTTGTTGGAATCATTTAATTATGATAGGTTCATAAGATCCGAGGAAGATGATATGGACCGATCTTGGGAGCAAAGGCTGGTAAAGCGATACTATGACAAGCTGTTTAAAGAGTATCCTTTGCCAATTGCTGCTGTTTTTCTTCAATTGGGTTGAATATTGAAATTTATTGTTATCAACTTGTTTAGCCTATTGATGCTTGTGACATTGATTGCCTTAAACTCGTTCAAGATACTGCATAGCGGACATGTCACATTACAAGAGTGGTAAGGTAAGTAGTTAAACGAGATACAAAATTGTTAAGGTAATGTCTTTGTTTTTTTGTAGTTGGAGTATAGAATCTGCATAAATGTGTTATCAATAGAAAAGGTAAAAAATTTGACTGCTATATGCTAGATTTTGCATGTCCAATTGAAATTGTCAGAGTTTATCAATTTTACTTGAATAATAAGGAAACTGAAGGTTTAGTTTGGTCAAGAAAGAAATTGAAGTTAAGTTATGATGATTTTACTCTAACGAAATGGTTACAAAAACAAAAGGTCTGTTTAAATGCTAGATAATACGTTGTAGTTCATTTTTTTTTAATGGTATACAGTTGTATATTATGACTCTAATGTGGTGCTTGGAGGTATAGCCTTTAAGTCATTGTTTACACATGATTATTCTTTTCCATGATGTAAATAACAAGCCAGCATGTTAAATAATGTTCTCTGGTTTGTTAAAATTCTCCCTGTAGATTGGTCTAAGGTGGAGGACAGAGAAGGAAGTCGTATCTGGTAAAGGTAATTTTATTCTCTTCATTGACTGCAAAGGTACCCCTCATCTGGACACTTAAAAACCTGTCTTTTTACCTTCCTCTTGAGTCTCAAGATTTTTGTTCTTTGAGTGTGCATTTAAAATTGATATTGTTTTCCAAGGTATTGGAAGAATGTTTGTAGTGTGTGAATCTTCTACTTTCTAATATAAGTAGAATGTCACACATCTACAGAATTAAATTTTGGCTTAACTCGTGTAGTAGCATGTGTCCTTCAAAATTTTAATGTATTTGCTTTCCCCTGTTTGGAAAACTGTGGTTTCTGAGCTTTTCAAAACTAAAATTTGGGCTTAACTCGTGGTAGCATGCATCCTTCAAAATTTCAATGTATTTCTTTTTCCCTTGTTTGGAAAACTGTGGTTTCTGAGTTTTTCAAATTTATTTCTCTTGCATGGTAGTTAAAATGCCACTATACTGTTGCCTTTTAGAAAAACAATAGCCAATTTGGTCACAATAGGGGTTGGGATGTTAAGCTCTCTGTGTTTCTTTTATCTTCCTTCTTCCACCTAACTCTGATTATTTCCCTACTCTCGAGAAAGGAAAGGAAGAAGAGGCCCATCCACTTCCAAGAGAAAAAAGTTCCACATTCAAACCAAAAACTCCTTGGTTGACCCTGTTTGCGTAGATTTTTACCGACAGCATTCTATGATGTATTATTTTATTCAAATGGTGAATGGAGCTGGAGTTTAGAATTGACTTGATACTGTTTTCTGACAGGGCAGTTCATATGTGGTAACAAACATTGTGATGTAAAAGATGGCTTAGCAAGCTATGAGGCAAGTTTCTGCACTAGCTAGTCATGACTAATTGATCGTTAAGTATTTGATGGGATGTGAAATTCATTGAATCGTTTGAAAAGGCGATCTGGTAATTGTGCATTTAATGTTTGTGTAGAAGGAACGTTGTGGTGAAACCGATGTAGCATTCCATGTGAATAATTTTCTCTAATGTTGCTTTTCCTTCCTGTAAACATTAATTATGATTATTTTCATTAGAACCAGAACTATTTTCGACGTTTATATGTCTAGAGGGATAAAGGAACAGAATAACAGAGTAGCTTCTATTCACAAATTAAAACAGCTACGCATTTATCTCAAATGGTTGTGGTCTGGTTATAGGGTTAGATTCTACAGCAGTTGAATTGATTGATTCTTATGGTGATCTCCCTGTAAATTTCATTGGTTGGGGATGATCAAGTTTTTGAAGAATAGACAGAATTTCCAGTACTAAACAGCACTGTGCATTTTTGCTTGCACTATTTTACGTCTCCTGATACATGTTTTATTCTATTCACGTGAATAGTAATCTTTGTAGGGGTCCCTCTCTTTGGTTTTTCTTTATGACTTAGGTTGTGTAGACAAGAAGTGCCCTAAGGGAGTTGGTGTGTCGTGGTCTACATCAATAGTTTTGGTAAAATGCACTTTTTGTGGCGTCAAGACCAAAACTTTTCTCCCCTGCTCTGAACTTCTTTCTTTAATGCGGAAAAGATTTTATTTTCTTTGGTATTTAAGCTTCTGGATTAGGAGTCCCAAAGATCACTTTTCCGGCATCTTTTATCCATATTTACATCACTTAGAATGTTTTTGCATCTTAATTGTTTTGGATATTATTTTGCAGGTGAACTTTTCTTATTTTGAAGCTGGAGAAAACAAACAAGCCCTTGTCAAATTGGTAACTTGTCAGAGGTTAGTGTTTATTGATACTCTTTAAGGCTCCTTCTGTATTTTTGGTCATTTCTTTTTGCATAAGTTTGCTACTACCCCTAAAGCAAACGTGCCACGCTCCTGGCCCGCAAGAGCATAAACTGTGTACGGCAAAATCATCATCAAAACCATCACTCATTTGAACTACGTTATGACTTGATCTTTTCTTTGGAAGAGTACGTAGGCAACTTGAAACTTCAAAACTTCAAGTACAGTCACATCAAAATAAATAAATAAATGTTTCATTAAAGAAAGTCAATTTTATTACAAAAAAAAAAAAAATACATATGTTACTATGTATTAGAAAAAATATATATATTCTCTAACACTTTGAAGAATAAAGAGCAAACTCAAGAAAGCAAACATTTTATTTCTTTAAAGGAAAAAAAAAGTCTGATTACAAAAGAAAAAGGGCAGAAGACACTACTCGAAAACTATGTCCCTAAAACTAAGAAGGCGGTCTTCAAGCAAGCCTTCCAAAGCCTTCAAAGTCTCTACCTCGGTGAGAGACAGGATGGGCAACTCTATAGCCATGTCTTTCTCATGTTCTAGGCGTGAAATCTCCTCTTGGCATTGAGAAAGTGTAGCTCCCTGCTCCCTGAGAACACTTTCAAGTTTTGATGCCTCGATGCCCAGCTGTTCTTGTTCTCGCATCAACATATCTAGACGTACCCGAACGAACGCTTTATCTGAAAAGCCGAGAGACCTCTACGCGTCTTCAACTTTGTCAGAGATCTTTTGACAAAGTTGAACGCTTTATCTGGAAAGCCGAGATTGTGTCTGAAGAGTTGACGAACTTTATGCAGGAAAATCCGGCTTTGAAGAGCGGTGTCTCTTCAATTTGAATCGGTGGTTGTGTCGCCTCTCCTTTTATAGAGGTGATCGATCACCTCTAACATGCACACTTTGAAGATTGCCCATTCGTGAAAATCGTCTCCGGTGTATTTTGTTTTAACGGCCCTTTGAAATTTTACTCCATCCAACCCTTCTCTTTTAACACCTTCGAAAATGGCTAACCCATCTAACATTTGCTTAGATTTGAGTCTCAGTAGTGATACGGGCGTGCCGCGTCAAGGTAATGTATGACGCCCGTCTTTTTTATCTTCTAGTGGCCCTCTTACATGTGAAGATTCCGTGATGAAGGATGCAACAACAACTACAATAGTAGCTATGAACCTCCTCACTCCTAGAGATAGTAGGCTGCTTTCAGGACGGTCTGATGAGTTGGCCGTTCAAGAGTCCCTAGCTTTCAGTATTCAGTGTGCGGGCTCCGTGTCCAACATGGGCCAACGCCTACTTGCTCGATCCCGTCAAGTTGAATCATTGACGGCGGAGGTGGAAAATCTTAAACAAGAGATCCAACAGCTTAAGCGCGAGAATAGAGGTTTGCACGTGCTTGCAAATAATTATTCGACGAGCATGAAGAGGAAGCTTGATGAGCTGCAAGAATCTGAAGGTCGAATTCAAAGTGACCGTCACAGGCTTGCGGCTTTCTTCCAGAGGCACCTTTTTCCTGCGTCATCTAGCGTTCCACCAAGTATTGAGGCCTCGAGTGATCTATCTTCGATGCCTCTCGCTCCTGGAGTTTGGCCAAGTAGTGAGGCTTCACGTGAACAACCTTTGTGAAAGCTCCATCTTTTTTTTATTTTTTTTATGTTTGATAGTGGCCAACTTGGCTATGCTTTTGGCTAGACAGCTGCTTCCAAATGCTTTTGGCTATAAAAAAAAATTATAAAGAAAGAAAGGGAGAAACACCTTTCCTTGTTTTGGAGAGGAAAAAAAGGAAAATGTTTTTGTTTTTTTTTTATTTTTTATTTTTATTTATTTTTATTTTTATTTTTTTTTATGTTTGATAGTAGCCAACTTGGCTATGCTTTCAGCTAGACAGCTGCTTGCAAATGCTTTTGGCTATAAAAAAAAATTATAAAGAAAGAAAGGGAGAAACATCTTTCCTTGTTTTGGGGAGGAAAAAAAGGAAAATGTTTTTGTTTTTGTTTTTTTTTTTTTTTCAACACCCGTGAGTTGGTTCAAGTGAAGTTAAATAGCCTTTGAAGCAAAGGGAAAAGTGAAGATAGCTCATTTCGGTTTTGGAGAAAATAGAGAAGAAGAGAGAGCTCAATACTCTGCTAAGAAAAAGAAAGAAGCTGCAAATAGAGAAGAGAAGCTACTGCTTCATTCGTTTAGTAATCATCTACCAAAGTAGTTGTAATAGCTTTGAGCTATATGTATAGAGAAGAAATTATTCATTATATTTCTTCCTCTATTTGTTTCTTTGGTGTGTGAGAGCTTTTGGGTTAGTAATCCTCTATTTGTATAGAGAAGAAATTAGTCATTTCGGTTAGTAATCCTCTATTTGTATTCCTCTATTTGTTTCTTTGGTGTGTGAGAGCTTTTGGGTTAGTAATCCTCTATTTGTATAGAGGAGAAATTAGTCATTTCGGTTAGTAATCCTCTATTTGTATAGAGGAAGAAATATAATGAATAATTTCTTCTCTATACATATGGCTCAAAGTTATTACAACAACTACTTTGGTAGATGATTACTAACCGAATGAAGCAGCAGCTTCTCTTCTCTATTTGCAGCTTCTTTTTTTTTCTTAGCAGAGTATTGAGCTCTCTCTTCTTCTCTATTTTCTCCAAAACCGAAATGAGCTATCTTCACTTTTCCCTTTGCTTCAAAGGCTATTTAACTTCACTTGAACCAACTCACGGGTGTTGAAAAAAAAAAAAAAAAACAAAAACAAAAACATTTTCCTTTTTTTTCCTCCCCAAAACAAGGAAAGGTGTTTCTCCCTTTCTTTCTTTATAATTTTTTTTTATAGCCAAAAGCATTTGCAAGCAGCTGTCTAGCCGAAAGCATAGCCAAGTTGGCCACTATCAAACATAAAAAAAAATAAAAAGAAAAAAAAAACAAAAACATTTTTCTTTTTTTCCTCCCCAAAACAAGGAAAGGTGTTTCTCCCTTTCTTTCTTTATAATTTTTTTTTATAGCCAAAAGTATTTGCAAGCAGCTGTCTAGCCGAAAACATAGCCAAGTTGGCCATTATCAAACATAAAAAAAAAAAAAAAAAATCTTAGTGATGTATATGTTTTATCTGTATTTAGCACAATACACTGAATAAAATAAAGTATGTCCATTAATTTCCGATAAATTACAAGTGCGTACAAAAAAAAAAAAAAAAAAAAGATGGAGCTTTCACAAAAATTGTTCACGTGAAGCCTCACTACTTGGCCAAACTCCAGGAGCGGGAGGCATCGAAGATAGATCATTCGAGGCCTCAATACTTGGTGGAACGCTAGATGACGCAGGAAAAAGGTGCCTCTGGAAGAAAGCCGCAAGCCTGTGACGGTCACTTTGAATTCGACCTTCAGATTCTTGCAGCTCATCAAGTTTCCTCTTCATGCTCGTCGAATAATTATTTGCAAGCACGTGCAAATCTCTATTCTCACGCTTAAGTTGTTGGATCTCTTGTTTAAGATTTTCCACCTCCGCCGTCAATGATTCAACTTGACGGGATCGAGCAAGTAGGCGTTGGCCCATGTTGGACACGGAGCCCGCACACTGAACACTGAAAGCTAGGGACTCTTGAACGGCCAACTCATCAGACCGTCCTGAAAGCAGCCTACTATCTCTAGGAGTGAGGAGGTTCATAACTACTATTGTAGCTGTTGTTGCATCCTTCATCACGGAATCTTTACCTGTAAGAGGGCCATTAGAAGATAAGAAAGAAGGGCGCCATACATTACCTTGACGCGGCACGCCCGTATCACTGCTGAGACTCAAATCTAAGCAAATGTTAGATGGGTTAGCCATTTTCGAAGGTGTTAAAAGAGAAGGGTTGGATGGAGTAAAATCTCAAAGGGCCGTTAAAACAAAATACACCGGAGACGATTTTCACGAATGGGCAATCTTCAAAGTGTGCATGTTAGAGGTGATCGATCACCTCTATAAAGGGAGAGGCGACACAACCACCGATTCAAATTGAAGAGACACCGCTTTTCAAAGCCGGATTTTCCTGCGTAAAGTTCGCTAACTATTCAGACACAATTTCGGCTTTCCAGATAAAGCGTTCAACTTTGTCAAAAGATCTCTGACAAAGTTGAAGACGCGTGGAGGTCTCTCGGCTTTTCAGATAAAGCGTTCAACTTTGTCAAAAGATCTCTGACAAAGTTAAAGACGCGTGGAGGTCTCTCGGCTTTTCAGATAAAGCGTTCAACTTTGTCAAAAGATCTCTGACAAAGTTGAAGACGCGTGGAGGTCTCTCGGCTTTTCAGATAAAGCGTTCAACTTTGTCAAAAGATCTCTGACAAAGTTAAAGACGCGTGGAGGTCTCTCGGCTTTTCAGATAAAGCGTTCAACTTTGTCAAAAGATCTCTGACAAAGTTGAAGACGCGTGGAGGTTGCCGACAAGCGTGGGTGATAAAGCCGCAATCTCGGCTTTTCAGATAACGCGTGCAACTTTGTCAAAAGATCTCTGACAAAGTTGAAGACGCGTGGAGGTCATTGCCGCATCCGCACTACCACTTGCTATTGGGAAATCCCTATATATGTCGACCTTCATCTTTTATGGCAAGGCAGACCTGCAAAAAAAAAAATGCCCAACTCTTCCTCACCTCCGAGAGTACACTCCCAACAAAGCATCTCAAAATGCTCAGTTTTCTTCCTCTCCAGGAATACCCTTGCAAACAAATGACACCAAGGCAAAAAAGTATCTCATATCATGCTTTTTCCCTGTCTTTTCCTTTACCCTTGCTCTTACCTGCAGGACAAGGGGAAATAGAGTTACCAGTCGGAACCTGAAATCAAACTTCCGACCTGGAACTGATTGCCTGGAACCTTTGCCTGGTTGCTTACCTTGCATTGCTCTCGAGTACTCATCGTCGTGGAGAAGTAATGTTTTGAAGCACCATTTAAATGCAAAGGTTGCATTCCACTCCTGCATTAGAGGACAAATACTACACGAGAAGATGCTAAACCTGCATAAGGAAATACCACTTCTGCAAAGGGAGCAAGTAAGGCAAGTGAAAATGATACATCGAAGCATGTGGAGACAAGCACAACAAATATATGTGCTGATTCATTCGCTGCTTCTTCAAAAGCAAAGGTATCTTATATCGTGCTTTCTCCATGTCCTTTCCTTTGTCCTTGTTATTACTCGCATGGCAAAGTGAAAAGAGCAATCAACCGGCACTTGGAGTCAGTCTTCCGATCTGGAACCGACTACCTGGAATCTATTCCCTGGTTGCTTACCTAGCGTTGCTCTCGAGTAGTCATCTTCAACGGTTGATACACTTCCAGAGAAGGGACCACATCTGCTTGAAGAACATCTAAGATGAGTGACAATGAAACATCAATCTGGTGGATCGTCAGCAAACGCAATAACTGCATATGCTAAGTCATCCTCTAAGCCTCTTCAAATATGAATTGGACAGATTGAACAAAGAAACAGGTCATCACTTCCACCTCGTGCTTGCCTGCCATGTGTCTGAATCCCGAAATCATTCATGGTCTTATTTCCAATTCAAGATCAAGCCTCGATGACCCTCGAAGAAATCACAAGTTCGATTCAAAATCAAGTGTTCACCATCCTTGAATCAAATTCAACTCCAGATAAAAGGAGTAAGTTCAGACCTTCGGAGGAGATCCAAAGAATCCTCCAGCCCAATTCAAGATTAAGCCTGTGGAAAATCAACGATTGGAGGAAACCAGAAAATCTTCCAGTCGAACTCAAGATCAAGCCTCGATGGCCCTTGAAGAAATTTCCAGCCCAATTCAAGATCAAGCCTCGACGGCCCTTGGGTTGACATCTACATTAAGGGACTTCAAAACGCATCTTCTACACGTGACAAGCACATGTATACGACGCGCCTTGAAGTGGGGGCATTTGTAGACATCAAAATTTCGGTGAAATGAATGTTGATCAATAATTAAAATTTCAATGCTCACGTGTTACATAAATTTTACATGTAGCGTGTGACTCAACGAAAAATCGAAATAAATTGGAAAAGTCATCAAATAGGACACGCGTCAATACCTGGCAGAAATGATTTATTTCATCTGATTATTTAAATCTAAAAATCAAGTTTTGGAATTCTATAAATAGAAGCCAAGGCATTCATTGGAGAAAAAAAGAAGGAAGAGAAATTTACATTACACCAAAATTTTGAAGCTTTGAAACTCTAAAGCTCTCAAGCAAATCCCGAAGGATCAAGAAATCACTCTTCGTTCTTCGTCAAATCCTCCTTCAAGATCGAGCCCCAACGGCCCTTGAAGAACTCCCACCAACTCAAGATCAAGCCCCGACGGCCCCTTGAAAAAAGTGTTCATCATTCATCATCCGTTCATCCTAAGATCAAGCCCCAACGGCCCTTTGGATCAACAACCTCAACAAACTCATACATCCATTCTTCAAGATTAAGCCCAACGCCCCTTGAAGATCCATTTATCAACTGTTCATCCTTAGATCAAGCCCCGACGGCCCTTTGGATCAACAACTCATCCACAAACCTACACCCTACGAAGATAGAATCAGAGGACCAAATTACAAAGAGATTGTAACCCCAAAATCATTAATACAAAAATATATTTTGTACACGTATTCTTGTCTCTTGTTTCAGGAATTTTTCGTGTTTACAGTTACGCTGGCATTTAATTTGCTAATTAATTTTTGTTAGCCTGCTGTTAATTTCTTTGCTGGTGACCTGTCACTAGATGTCACTCTGTTCTGTTTGGATCTTGATCAATTGTCTTCCTTTTGACGTTTGGATTAAACTGTTCTCTTAACAGATGTTCTGAAAAGCTTCATTACAAAAGATTGAAAGAGAAAGAGCAAATGGAAAAAGAAAAGAAGGAAGAGAACAGAAGAAAGAGGTCTCAAGTTGATTTGCATCCTTTTCCACATAGGACTTTTCCTTTTTGTGTGGTATTTTTGGTATGCATAATAACCAAAACCTCACTTGCAGGAATCGATCAGGTGATAGTGATGATACTGATAGTGAGGGGAGCAAAGAAAGGAGAAAAGGTTTGCATTTATATCATTTTATGGTTTACAAATACTGGTTGTTTTACATGCTGAGATGGCGTCGTTTATATTAAGATTGCAAATGTATGAATATCTTTCTTTAAATTACATTTTTTTTAAAGAAAATACGTGCCTATCATGTCCCCTGGTTCTGCATTTTTTGTTCAAGGAGAATGGCATTCTTTTAATGGGCGCATTCAGCCCCAACCTGGCTATAACGATGAGACATCATTCTTGTTATGTCATTTCATACTCAAAATCTTCAGCTTATGCCATTTCAAATAAAATTTTCAGGGAAAAAGGCTTCAATCTCCACTAGAGAAGATAGAGTTGATGATGAAGACGATGATACAGATAAGTTTGAAGAGTATCTCGAGGGAATGTTTCCTTGATACTTGCTAATTGAGGGCCATCATATCTGCAGTTAATCTCTGCCCCACTTAGTGAATGAAGGCGAAGTGAAATCTATACCAGAGGTGGGCCGAAGCATGTCTTGATGAAACATCCTTGCCTTCAGTTGAAGGGGCCATGAGTTGCTGAAATTCCTTTGCCTTTTGCCTTTTGCATCGAAGGGCTGTTTGCGTATTCATTTTTCGTGGTAACCCAGTTTCGAAGCCAACTGCAAGGGGCACGGGGACAATGGAACAGCCATGCCTGACGTTGTTTGTAATTTGAATACAGTAACGATCGAATTGTGTTGTAAGCTAATATTAGAGGAAAATCATTCTGTCTTTCAAGTAAATATAACTTGTCAGAAAAACCAATGAGGTTTTATAATTTTGTTTCGGATTGATTTACATTGTTTCTTTGTTTAAATATTCTTGTCGGTATAAATAGTACAGTATGTGATTTCTACATTCCGGAGTTTTTAACTTAGTGATGGAATACGAGGGAATGTTCTTCCTCAATTAACGTAAGAAACAAATTGTCGTTGTCGGCTGCCCAAAGCACATTTCAGTTCCATTTGGGTTTTTGGTACAAGCCATTGATGTGTTGACTTGATCAGTTGATCCAGACCATTTATGCGTTGTCACGCTACACGCTCTTAGACGCAAAGAACTAGTATGGAACGGGATGTTAAAATTGATTCTAGCTCGAGACACCATTGATTCTAGCTTTTTTTGTCAAGGAACAAAAACAGAAATGAAATTTATGGCATTTTCCTTTTTCTCTGACTTGTCCAAGGGGACAAAAAGAAAGTACAAAATTCTTGAGGAGAACAAAGTTGAAGATGTACCACGACAAGGAACAAGTTAAAAAGGACGGTACAATATATTTGGTGAAGCCTTCAGTTTGTGTGTTGGTTCAAGCCCTTAAAACACAAATCCAACTTCTTCTACCTTACACATTTTGCATTTAGGCAAACTTTCAAAGATACCAAGAAGTCATTTCGGATGTTCTAAATGAGGAGAGACTTTTCAATGCGTGCGGAATACAGAGCAGAACATCACATGTCATTGTACAATTGGAGTAAAGTTATTTTTTAAGCGTCGCTCCATTGACATAATGACATGTGATGTTCTGCCACGTGATTAAGACACACTAAAAAATCTCTCATAAATGAAGTACAACAACAATTTTTTCAAGCGTTGCATGTTTTTCGGACTCAAAAAAATTTCTTGGTTCGCATTTTGTTCAGTAAACCAGCACCGAACGGATAGGGGAAGCTTAGGTAGTGCACAGTCGAACAAAAAATTCAAAAAGCAAACGGGAAGACATTTGGCAACTCCCTAGCCAACGTCAAGAAGAATGTTTGACAGCCCCTTCTGAACGTGCATATTCGGCAATTTTCCACGGAACGACAAGGATAATGTTTGATGCACTAGGGACGAGCGTTTTGCTCGACTGTCCATGTTTTTCTCGTCCAAAACCCGTTAGCTTTGCAATTCTGTCTTTTATCATATTAGTCGCGCATTTGTAATTCAATCTCAAAACATAAGACTATGAATTTTTCTTATTAACAAACGGTATTTTCTACCATTTAGTACTACAGTTTAGTGATATTCATTTTCATTTGTAAATGAGAGGTTTTAGGTTTGATTCTCACCAAAGGCGAATTTGGACATACGATATTATCTATACTAAGGGGAAGAAGATGAACTCAATCTCACAATGAGTTAGTCATAATTTAGTTCAAATTCGTTTTAATGAGAATCGAACCTAAGCATATAGTAATGGTGATGACTGCTGAAGGTTCAACCAGGCACCTCTAACAATTAATCTTCTAAAAACAATTTTAGGGCTAAAATTTTCCCACTCCAACCATGTAAGTAAGGCTATGTTTATTTCCCTTCATATTTTATCACTTTTTGAGGCCAAGTTTAACATGTTGTGGGACTACATATTGTCTTAGGGCCAAACTTAGCCCTACTCTTTTAGCCTGATTCTCCTTAGCCTTTTTCCGAGACTAATTTTGTCAAGTTTTTTGCTAAATATGGGCTATAGTCATTGGATGGAGATGATCTTATGACCAAACTCAACCATCATACACAAACAATCACTTTAGTGCTCTACTTAATTACAAGCATAAGCTACTAGATTCGGCAGAATAAGATCTATCTCTTCTAACATTGCTTTATCATTACATTTGAATCCTTGAAGAATATTTACCTAAGATCAGGTGTGTTTATGAAACAATTTCACAAATCAATAAGAGTCTAAAAGAAATGTATCTCAATATCACATATGACATTGTGTTGTTGATTTCAGATATCGAATGGTCATGCTCGGTGTGTTGCTATGTCTCGTTTCTCTCAATTGAGAGTTTGAAAGATAATAAACCCGTATCATAAAAATTGTTCTCGTCTAATTTGAAAACAAAATCTCTCCAAACAGAAAATGCCATACCTACCAACACAACACGTTCTACAAGACACCTGGGTGCCCATCAGATTCCCAAGTCCATTGCGTGGCACCGGTAGCACATGTTTTTGGCTGCTACCCTGGTTCGTTGGGTAAATGCTCAAGGCCTTTGGTGGACGAATATAATTAAAAGGGACCCAACGTGGCCGGTTTGTATAGTGAGACCCATGGGACACGCTGCTAGCCCGACACGTTGCGGTATTCATATAGGTACAAAAGAATGCGGATTCTAGCTGGATTTTTTGCGAAGATTCTAAAAATCTATGAATCATATCTATTCATCATACATTATAAGGTCAAATTTTTTTTAATTTTTTTACTTAAAATTAAACATTATTAATATTCAATAAAAACTTATTATATAATGTATGATGAACAAATACGATTTAAAGATCCTCAAAATCCTCACAAAAAAGATCCGAACATGTTGGGTTACAAAATCCTCGCTGGCCAAGCTTCCATACTTCTCTAAAAATGAAAAATGTTAGGGGAAAATCATCTATTTGGACTACATTATTATAATGCGTCACAAACATATAAAATAAACTTGTTAATCAAGTATTTAAATAATAATTTAATCATTAACATTTATATCCTAGTGTTTATAAAAAATCTAAAGAAATGATCTTTTTAAGATTACTAAAGTTAACTCATCATCCTCAATGATAGTAGTGTTTACCATTTTATTTATTATTGTTGGATAAGTTAAATTTTAAGATTTGTAAAAAAAAAATACTTCTTGTTTAAATTTTTTTCAGAGTGGAAAAATAGAATATCGAAAAAAACTTTACCTGCCTTTGCCTACTAGTTGGAGAGCAATTGGTGTATTGCCCAAATTACCCCTGCACTTATTTTAATCATCTTTTTTTCTTGTATATGTAATTGCAAAAATTAAAAAGTAAAGAAAAATTGAGAAGCAACAATTATCCTATTTTTTTTTTTTCATACAAGTAACATTTCTATTCTGAAATAATTAAGAGGATGAGACGTTTGAACCTGATACACAATAAATTTAAAAAAAAAATTCTAATTAACATAACAATTCACCACTTGTAAGTTGCAACAACAATCCTAAAAATTATGAAAAACTTAAGAATTTTTTTTTGAGACAAATAAAGAGTTTGCTATATATTCGCACCATTCATTTTATTAATTTCTCACTAATAGGAAAAGAGGGATTTGAACTCGCAAAGTTAGCTATTCAAGACAAATTAAAAAGAAATAAAATAATTGTTATAACCAATAAAAAAGTTGATTCAACATCGCTGTTTCCATTATTTATTTATTTTTTATCAAGTAAATAAAAAAAACCATTAAAGACAATGATATATTTACATTAAGAGATGAAGGCAACGACGCAACTATACCAGACTGTTATATATGCAATGCTTGTTTGGATAATTCTAACAAAGGTGTCACAATCACAATTAGCCTAAAACATAGTTAACTTATAATTATAAATAGTAAAACAAAGTCTATTGTGACAAAAATTAAAGATTGTTGATGCATTATGAGAATTAGTCATTTATAATAATTTGATATTCAATTCGTTATTCCAATAATTAATTTTATATATATAACAAAGGGTAAATTACAAGGAAGGAAAGGGGGAATTGTAAGGCTAATTTGGTCTAGTCACCCAAACTTCTCCCTTCTTTATTGTCTTTTGCCTTGTCAAACTTTTCTGTATAGTTTAAACTAATAAATATTAAATTTATTTCCAAGAATAATATTTTTTAAAAATATATCATATTTTTAAACTGTCTCTGTCTGCGTGACCTTCCACTGTCTCTCTTAAGGTTGCAGAGAGAAGGAAGAGAGAGAGAGACAGATAGCGAGAAGAAAGGAGAGAGAAAATGAGACTTGCATCGACGACTTCCAATCCCTGAAATCAAAGTTTCTTCTTCGGCTTCCTATCTGCTACTTGGCTCACCACTGTAAGATTTTCCCTCCCAATTTTCCTCAAATCAATGTTTCTGCATGCTTGAATTCTTGTTTTTGTTAGAAAACTCCTTCTAATCTCTGTTTGGTCAGCGGGAAAATTGTGGAATCACAAAGAAAATTATATGAAGTTTCGAGCTTGGGGTTTGGATAATGAAAAGGGCTTTCAAGTTTCCACCTTTTTCCTTTTTTTTTTTTTTTCTGTTTAGTTGCATTTTTGTTTAATTGAAACAAGGGGGATTGCATGTATTGAAATTCCGGTCCCTAGATGTAAAAGGTTTTGAAAGTTTAGTCAGTTTAATGGAGTGAGACAGAATAGTGTATTTAACATTTGTAAATTCGAAGCTGAGTTTAGAACGCTCTTTAAAATATCGGTATTAGTAGAAATATCGATACTAAACATTGATTTTAGACGAAATATAAGAGTTTCTCTAATATTTAACCGATATGTCGAAAATACCGACAAAAACAATTAGCCGAAATTTAAAAGTTTATCTGATACGAGATGAAGTTTAAACTTCATCTCCTTTTCATATCTTTCTATGATTTTTTCTATATTTCCAAATATCTACCGTATCAAAGAAAGTTTAAACTTCACCCTCTTTTCATATCATTCCCTGATTTGTTCGATATTTCCAAATATCGACCATATCAAAGAAAGTTCAAAAACTGGTTTAGAATACATTTGAAGCTGTAAATTGCATTTGATTGAAGTTATAATTGCATGTTAAGGACAGACTTCCTTGCACTCGCAGTCCCGAGTTCGAATTTCTTCCATACGGTTTTTCGACTCAAGTCTTTTAACCGCTGTTTTTTTTTTTTGGGGGGGGGGGGGGGTGCGCGGCATAGGACCTCCAACGTAGCATGGCCTACGTACGGTATCACAACTTTGATATCTAGTATATATAAAAAGAAGAAGAAGATATAATTGTATGTATGTTAAAGATACCAAAATTGATTGATCAGGTGCTTTTTGTTTGGTATGTACTTATTT